TCCAGAGAAGGGCCTCAAAAATGATCCAAGGGATGGAGCCTCTCCTACAAGCACAGGTTGAAATAACTGTTTGGCCTGGAGAAGACAAGGCTCCAAGGTGACCTGATAGTCACCCTTTAATACCCGAAGGGGAACTACAGGAAAGAAGAGAACAGATTCTTTAGCAGCGTCTATTATAATAGGACAAGGGGAAATGGTTTCAAGCTTAAAGAGGGTAGATTTAGGTTGGACATAAAAAACAAGTATTTTACAGTGAGGGTGGTGAGACACTGGAACAGGTTGCCAGGAGATGTGGTGGATGCCCCATTCCCTGAGACAGAATCAGAGTCAGGCTGGACCAGCCTCTGGGCAAACAGATCTAGATGTTCCCGTTCATTACAGGGGAGTTGGACTACATGACCTTTGAAGGTCCCTTTCAACTCTAAGGGTTTTATGATTCTACTTGTATTCACACTAAATATGAACAAACTAAAATTTAATGCAAAAAAAAAAGAGAAAGCAAAAAATGGTGAAACATGCAGTTTAAAAGAAAATAAAATATAGTGAAAAAACCATGAAGATCAGACACTAAAGCAGATCATCTGCTTTCCCCCCCCCACACACAGCTTACAGCCATTGTAGATCTAGTGTCCTGCAAATAAAACAAGTTACTCTTAAGGAAATCCCCTTAATTTTAGTTTCTTGTGTATGAGAATATGAAGATCTTAATTCCCACTCTGAATTTCACACTAGAAGGGCTGAAACATTTTCCATCAATGTGATTTTTAACAAAGAAAACAAAACACCAACTGCTATTAATTTTCACCAACATTTATCATATCTGCCTAGCCTTTAAAACATTCAGTTTAAACCCCTTCTGTGACTTCACTTCTGATTCTAACTCTTCTGCTTCTCTCTCTCCTCAGATCACATAGACTGGCACTGCAGTTTTGTAGTCTCAGAATACTTTTTGCACAGAGGAGCCAGAGACACCCTTAAAGCCATAAACCCAGACAGACTTTGGTCAATCAACACTAGAAAAGTGTTTTTTAAGTACAAGAAAAACAAATTTTTCAGAACTTACACCCACATTTTCATCCTTTTCTGCTGATTCTCATTTAGCAATGCCATTTGTAATTCAGCAAACATCAACTTATACTTGCTGATTGAGAATCAGAATGTTCTACATCAAATCCTGTAAACCTCTATTTCCAGTCTGGTGCTAAGTGATGGATGTCCATTAGCATAATGATGCAACAAATCCTTCCAAAATCATTCCAATTTTCACCTAAACTTAGGATTTACTTTCTACAATCAATTCAGACCAGTCTTACTACCTCACAGCACCAGTCTGAAGAACCAGAAGTGAGAAGGCAGTTTACAAACATAAAAATGAAAAGGTACAGAATAAAATAGCTGCACAAAGGAATGGAAATTTGTCTCTCTGTAGCCTTCACCAGAATGATATCCATCACTGCCTGCAGCTGTCTCCCTCTCCTTGTTTGTTCTCTGTAAAGAATTTGCATGTTGTAAAAACCACAAAATAGATGTTGTGGTAGTGTCATATGAAAGATCACATAGAAACATTCAACCATTACTCAAGTGTGCAGTGTCTCCATTGTAGAATGCAATTTTCTGGTACATATTTGGACTCGGTTCTTTGAATGAATTGTCAGAAGAAGGCTCACAAGAATGGATTTGATATTGCAACAACAATATCCGCGTGATCCAGTTAGAGCTGTTCACACTAATGCCTCATGCTTCATATACAACATCGATCTGAAATGCATGACATCTATTTTCCCAGCACTGCTGGCTTATTCTTCATTGTAAATCAGGAGAGAAAGTAGTTTCAGAGATTGTAATTGTTTGTCATGTAAGAGACAGTTTAGTTAATGAATTTCCACAATGTCTGAAGGAGTAATAATTTATAAATTTAATATAATTTATTTAATAAAAATGAATCCAAACAGAACGATCATAAATTAAACAATATCCAAGTCTTTACTAAAGATAACTTCTTTGCCTCTTTATCTCTTGGAAAGATTAAAATGAATGCTCCAAAACATACATGGTGTTAAAAAAAACCATGGAAACTATTAAGAAGTCCTTAGCAAGCTCCTTTAAGAACTTTAAAATTGTACCAGATTCGTATACAATACAACCCATACTATGACTGAATTGTTTTAGTGTAGTAATGCACAGTATAAAATGATCACTAAGAAATTTAACTATTATAAGCAACAGAGCAGCTAAGGAAGAGTGAGAAGGCCAGATTTTTAGTAAATACTATCCCTAAAAAATAATTTTTATAAATAAAAGAAGTGTGACTGGCATACCCAGAAAGACCCCAGAAGCAGCAGCCTCTCTATTACTCATTCAAAAACATCCATCAGTTAAAATAAATAGAAGAATTCCTCCCCAAAAGCCAATTTGTTATTTTGTTAAAAATGCATAAAATGAGTTACTTTAACATCAATTTTACCTGATTTAATAACTATTTTAATTCTAATTCTCCTATGTTTAACATAGTTTCATAACTTTTTCCTGATATACAAATATATTTCCCCTGCATTTTTATCATCATTTGAACTACTGTCTTATTTCTTTTGACAGTGGAAGACTTCCTAATGGAAGAACAAGGCTTGAGAAACAGAAGATGGACAGCATCTTTGAACATGACAGCACACAGCATGTGGTAATTTTTAGTTAGTCAGGAAGACTGATCTCACAGAAAGCTTGCATGTCTTGCAAAGTAAAATGTCATACGCAGTCTCACATTTTAGTTGTCAAGACGCACCTTTCAGTATTCAACCTTTTCCAAAATAATTTTGATGTTAACTCAGTTCTGTGGCTTTCAGTAATTTACATAAAACGCCTGAATTATACATAAACTAAACTAGAAATAACAAAGTCTTAAAAGATATTCAAGAAGCCAGTAGCCAGTTTCAAAGTTCAAACTTATCTACTGTATATATAGTGACATGAGGCTCAGACTACATTTTCTATTTGAACGTAGGCATTGTCAACAATAGACAAAGGTGAACACCAGACACAGAAAAACACAGCAACACACCTTTGTTATTCACAAATAACTGACAAATCCTCCTAATTCACCATGACTACAAAAGAACAAGAGAAAGCTGAACTACTGTATCTGCTCCCAGTGAATATCTTTAGGCATAAAATTGGCCAAACTGTACCTGAAGTGGCCAAGAGAACTTACAGCACTAATACCAACCACAGTTCATAGCTTTGGTATCTAATGTCTCTAGATCTCTGATAATGCCAAAAAGATGACCAGTCAAAAAAAAAAAATCAGTTGGACTCATTTGTAAGGAAAGAGTTAATACTGAAAAACAAATTACAGAGGAAAAACCTGTGCACCTTTGTCACTGATGCTGAAAAAACTCATTATGTACATACTCTCATTGTTAAAAGTTCTCAATTAAAGATTAAAATTCCCTGTTGGTACTTCCGTGCATTTTCCCTCTTCCTTCTATTGAGCACCACCTTAAGAAGAGTCTGACTTCCATTTTCTCTGTAGCATCCCAGAAGACAGCCAACAGCAATAAGATCCTATCTTTTTTCCTCCTAAGACCTAACCACCTTGCATCTTTCTACCCCTGCTCACATGCATTGCATATTGTTTTCCAGTTAACAGACAATACAGAAGTCTTATACATTACAATAGCTGAAGAATACAGTTTCTTCTTCAGTCATATCCAACCTCTTTAGCTTGAAAAGCTATAGAATTCCAGCCCACTCAATGTTTAGTGTGGGTTTTGGTTTTGTTTGGCTTTTGTTTTGAAAGAAGAAAAGCATTTCTTTGGAGAAAAAAGAGAAAATGCCAGTATTTGATTTTATTTTCATTCCAACACAAAATACAAATGAAACATTCAGAAAGAACACAAAAAGAGAATCCAAAACTGGTGACAGTGTAATGGTTCCCGGTCATACTCCAATCATTTTAAACATATGAGCTTTATAACAAAATTCTAACTGAAGTCACTTAAAATGCTGGCAATGCGTGCCTTATATTTTGCTTCAGAAGCATTCTGCAATCTTCTGTGCGTTTCCACAAGATTTTGAACATTTAAAATTCCTCTGTACCAGATTAAGACCTTCAATCATTCATATTAGGTCTGTATATTGAACTGGGATATTCCTCACTGTTATTTACACCTTCTCTAATCTCCAATGAAACATCAACATCTCCCCAGATCATTCAAACCCTGCAAATGTTACATCCTTCTTCCAACATGAAGAAATACATACAACGCAGAAAACGTGACCAACAAGCAATACAACTAGCTTTTACCTGTAGTAAATTTCTTAATTACTTATTTTGAATGGAAAATAAACCCAATAGTGTTTTGCTCCCAACCGTTTCCCCACCTTAAAAGGAAAAACACAGAAACAGTCTGAAAAGGTTTCTAGCCCTAGTCTCATTTTCTCACAGAAACCCAAACTTTCACCAAAGCCATTTTCAAAGATGTTCTTCATTAATATTTGCTCTCAAAAGAAAAATAATTCTATCTTCTTGCAAGGCCATGCTATTTGGAACTACCCTGCAATAGCAAACATCAGTTGTATTGACTCTCTCCACACCAGATAAGAATGTGGTCAGTTCTACTTAACTTCCTCAGTGAGAAAAAATTCTTATTCCATTTCATTCTTTCCTTTCTGAGAATAGCAATAATCCACCAAAATTTCAGACTTAGTGACAAATTATATTCACACTTTTTACAGTTCTTGAATACATTCTATTGCTACTGAATGCTATAAGGCCTTCCCCTCATTCCCCGTTCCTCTGGCACCAAGATTTGCCTCCCTGTTCATCCCCATTCAACAATTTTCACAAATCCTGAAGACTACTTACTTAAGGCAGGCTAATTTGCTGAGTACTGAAGATACAGATATGATTGAGAATGACATACCTTATTTCATCACAATAGTTTTCTTTCAACATATAGAGAGACATTCAGGTTCGACATAGATGTTGGTTTAGCTATACTCACTATGTGCAGTTGCAGAAAGTCACCGAGTCCAGGGGCACTGTCAATCCGTACAAGAATGCCATCCTTCACTGTTGTGCTGAAGCCCACAGCAAGACGGTCAGTCCTCGTGCTTGGTCTGTCATTAGCTGGCCAGGTGTACAAGATGAGGCCTCCACTCTTCCCAAATATATAAGTGGCACCAGCTAGAAAACAGAAAATTCAGAGACAAAAGAATTACACATTATCTATTTGTCAACTCAGAAAATAGTTCTATGGCTTCTAAAAGGAATATACACAAACAGACGCTTTCATTAATTAACTTGGTAAAAATAAAGATACTCCACTGACCGTGCTACTGACAGCAGGTAGAAGAAACCAGGAAAATTAAGTAGATGATGAAAATGCATTTCCAGACTCTGGCTGATAATAACTGATACAATGTACACTAAATCCTATTTTGTGACAAATGACATTGTGGGCTCTCTGATACTGATAACATGCACTATAAGGTGCACAAAATGGTTATTTAGACTACTCTCTCCTGCTTAGCATACGCATTCTTCCTTCTCTAAAGTCACAAGTTTCCCTGCGTGGAGCCAAAACTCTGGAATGCTAGACTAGACTTTTTTTCTAACAGAAAGTTATGAAGTTAAAGTAGATTTTTAAAAGATCAGACAAAATGTATCTGTTCCTTCATCATAAGGTTTGCACTGTTAGACTCTATGACAAAAACTCCATTTCTTCCTTATGGAAGGTGTGTATCTCACATGAACACAGACAAAAGATGCTAATATTTCCAGTAAGTAATCCAAACATGTATGTTATTCAGAATATCTTAATGTTCCTACATGCATAACAGTGGAAGAAGGACAAGCAAATAAGCAACCATCTACTTTTAGTATAAATCACTCCAGGCATTTTTACTGTATGCAACTGCTGAAGTGTATTTCAGTTCCTCAATAAAGACAAGCAGCCCAAGATAAAGTGAAGAGTCTATCAAGAATTATGAATTTCATTAATGCTTAATATCATCCCAGACAATGCCTGATAACACAACACTTGTGAAGGGTGAGGGAGAGAACACCACAAAAAAACATCCAAATCAGAAACATGGGATTTAGTTTCATTTGGCTATCCAAAGGGAATATTTGGCCTCTTGGAAGCTGTCTTGACTTCAGTTGAAGACTATTCACAACTGGGTACTTTTTCCAAAACTTTTTAAGGCTTTTGGATATCTGGGACAGGTGTTTCTAGCACCATTTCTCTTTACAGTTAGCCTGAAAAATTGTTCCTTCACCTTGTGTTTTGTTTTGTATTTGCTTAAATTTTTTTTTCCTGGTTTATTTTTCAGACAACAGCAAACCTCCACAAAGCTGAACACTATCCTGCACATTGACAATGGCAATCTCAGCTCAGTAAGATATGCAAGTGAGGAATTTCCACTGCAGATAAAGAAGCTGAGAAGCAGAAGTATTCAGAAACCATTTTCTCACTTGTACTCAACACAGCAAGTAACAAGCAGGATTTTTATGACCCAGCCTCTGAGCCTCTTTGAAAACACAACCAAAATTGCCATCCTAGATCCAAAATTTCAGATGGGTCAGAGATGTGTCTCAATGTCCCAACTACCAACTGCACCTGAGTTTGTAAGTACTATAACAAAAGATCAGAAGCTACAAAATAGAAATGCAAACCACTCAGCTCTCATTTCAACATCAAGTATGAGAACTGCAGGAAGTACAGGGAAACTGGGTACATTTTTTGGTCTGAGAGAAACCATGACTAATGCTATTCTTTATCCCCCCAGGTGTACAAACCAGCAACGTGCATCAAGTAACCCTGAAGAGAACAAGTGTAGTTAGATGCAGAAAGAGGTTTTATTTTACACTCCTTACTTCATCTCTGCACTTGCCCATAAAGCTACAGTGCCACTAAAGCTGAATTACATATTACACATTACCAGGGCAGCAAAAACTCAAGCACATAGAAGGAAAATTTATAAATAGCTGATTCAATGACAGAGTGAAAACGTATCCATGTTCCCGTCATATGCATACCTACCAGAACATACAATCACTAAATTCAAGTGTGTCTGAAGCCACAGTGAAGCAAGAAATTTCTCTCTTCTGAGTTAGAAGAACAGAATAGCATAATGGAGCTTAGAACACCATTTCATTTTCAAAAAGATTAATTCTACAGACTGAACTCTATCCATTGATTCAGCTTTAGACTCAAGATGGGGAATACATAACATGCAAAATACATATAGAACACTTTTGTAAGTTTGCTTTAAAACCCATCCCCCAACTGTATATGTTAACTCAAATTAGCTGGCAATGACTGGTAATTATCTATAACTTCTGCCACAGTATGGGAAATCAACTGCCTACCATAAGCGAGTAACAAATATCCTCCTTCAATTCATTAGCTTGTTCTTAAAGTTGTGCACTGCATTACAGACTAAAACAAGGCACAGCAGTTCATTAAGTAAAGCAAGATGAGTTTATTTATTGTTAACGAACTCATGGATTAAGATTTGCTTTCCAAAACTATTCTCACTTGAATTCCAAGCAGGTTTATATGCAAAGACAAACTTCTGCAGTATTTATAGAAAGACAGACAATTTTGTTGCCTCTCTAAGATCCATTTGGATGCAGGTAGAGTATGTCAGAGCTCCTGTGAATGTCAATTATAACCAATTATGTCTTCATAGGCCTGTCATGGGACTTAAATGATTAAGAGAGCTCTTTTTTCCCCTTAAAGAGAAAGAATTCATCTCTAGGCTTATCTTGATGACATTTGGTACAATCAGAAAACAACCAAAAGCCGCTAGCCACTAGTCAAATTAACCTGATAATAGAAAGCTGATGGCTTGCATTTGTTTCCTTATTCATAGAATGGTTTGGATTGGAAGGGACTTTTGAGATCATCTAGTTCCAACCCCCCTGCTATAGGCAGGGACACCTCCCTTAGACCAAGCTGCTCAAGGCCTCACCCTGGCCTTAAATGCTTCCAGGAAGGGTGCATTCACAACCTCACTGGACCACCTGTTCCAGTGTTTCACCATCCTCACAGTAAAGATACCTTTCTAACATCTAGTCTAAATCTACCTCTTTCAGTTTAAAGCCATTTCCCTTTGTCCTGTAACTACATGCCCCTATAGCTCCCTTATATAAGCTCCCCAGCTTTCCTGTAGGTCACTGTCAGGTACTGGGAGGGAGGAAATCATTGATATTGTCCATATCAAAGCTACTTGCATAATAATAGCTGGCCTGATTGACTTACCTATGCATAACTGAATACACAACTATTTGTTGGGTACATCAATGTCCCCTTCCCTGGGGCTAGTCTGGATGCGCACTGCCTTGTTTGGAAGCTGATAGGATGTTAACATTACACCAAAAACATTTCCCATATGAACAGAATGGTTAGTCTAGTCTAAACATGAGGTACAGACATTAAGTGAAAACTGGGGAGGAAGAATAATCAGAGTTACTACTACAGAGCCATCACATTAGGAAAAAAAAAATTTAAAAACCCAAAGATCTTACTTGAATGCTTCTATTTGACTGTAACAGCTGTGAATTTATGGAATTTGAAACAAGATAACCAAACAAGACAAAAAGTAGAATTACAACTCTAGATTTCAGAAGGGGAGATTTCAACTCTATGACAAGAACGTACAATTTCTGATAGGCCTTGTTTAAGCTAGAGCAAATGAGCAGGTTGGACTAGTTTACATCCAGAAGTTCCTTCCAATCCTAAGGAAATAATTATGCTTTGTTGTGCAGTATACAATTGTAGACTAATTAAGTAAATGGAAAGTTAAAACAACTGATGAAATTACGGTCTGTTCAGCTTGAGATCCTCTTGCTGTACCTAAGCTTCATTACATACTCCTTTATTGCACAAGGGCATGCATTTCTTTCCCCCAAAGGTATTCTCTATTCAACACTGACAATTGATAATACACTGTTAATGAGCATCTACTTGATATTTAGTTTTTCCTCATTGTTCAAGGCTTAGTTATACACTTCATTTAATAACCAACTCCAAAACTCCAACTACACCCTGGAAAAAGGAAACTCTGAAAGGCCAATTAATTCTATGGTATTTATTTTTTCACTGTTTCCACTGACTTACTTATACTTCACTAACAAAATTGTGCACAGAGTTATTTCCCTACTCAGTTGTGAGAAACCCCATTTCTCACAGTGCCCCAGGCCATATTTCCTGTATTAGGTGAAGAATATGCTCAGCTATTGTGCTGGAATGTTGCACACAAAATTTGGAGGCCAGAGAAAACAAGAACTAAGTAGGTTGCTCTGAAAGTAATGCTTATTTATTTCCATGAAAACTTTTTACAGATACTATTACAGAAATCACAATAACAATATTTGCTAGAGCAAATTCTCAGCTACAAAACATTGTTTTTCAACAGTCACTACTATTAGCTATTCATTGCATTTTTGCCAGCAATGAGCAAGAGCTGGAATGACCCGCTCAAAAAATCTATACCAGCAGAGGTGCCCTACACTCACCACTGCTGAAATGCAACACCCATTGTTTCACTGTGCTAAGATTTGCTATTTGGTCTCCATAGATCTGCAGTCAGTGCACACTGTTTTTGACACAGGGAGAAATTCGGTGACACACTTTTGCTTTGTACACATACTCCCATGTCAGATGACTTTTGTCAGTCAGACTGCCTCTCTGCTACTATCTGTCACACAGCAACAGCATGTAATGGAATACTCTTGGGAAGATTCAGCCTCTACTGCCATACCACCAGCATCCACCTCTGACATCAAGGGCCAACATAATAAAATAGGAGGCATTAATTTCAGAGCAGCTCAATTTAAGGCAGAAAAAAAATCACCACAAAATTTCTAACAAGAATTATCAGCAGCTATAATCCATAGCAAGAAAAACCTCTGTGTTGTGTTAAGGAAATATTTACTAGAAGTTAGCAATACCACTAATCACTTTTTCTAATCATCACTCTAAACTTTCAAAACATGTCTTAAGGAAGAGTGCCATTCAATCAGTGCAGAAGAACTGCAGCAGCTCTATCCTGCCTAGAATTAATCCCATAAAGCAGTGGAGAACAAGTCTGGCATATTTACATAAGACACAACTTCTCTCATGTCCCTGGATCCTGCAAGCCTCCCGATGTTAAATAAAAACATTCTCTATTTGCATCCACTAAGCCATTTTGTCAGCAGTCTGTTTTCTGAGCTATACCACAACTCCAACACACTCTTAACTCGCTGTGGCCAGAAAAATGCAATGTTTGACAGATACTACAGCCCACAAACTATAGAGGCAACAGCACATTGTATGAGTTTAATGGACTATGAAGAGCATAGTTCTAATTTTTACAACCAGAAAGCACCTTCAACGTTAAAATTGCTTAGAGATTCAGGCCAATTTAAACGTTATAATAATTACTGGAGTTAACAGAGCAAAGTTTACCAGGATCCCACTTTCCTTCACAAATGACACTGTCACAGGCAAAACAATCTCAACTGGTATAATTCCATTTCAATTTTTGGACA